TTCTTAACAAGTGGGATTTTCACTGCTCGGCTAATTTTATCATACTGAGGCCAAGCTATTCTTATTGCTCTGTTTTTCAAATCATTTCCTGCAGAACTTTTTTATGGTTTCAAGGGTTTATGAGCATCTCATGCATAAACATTTTAGAGCAGCAGTGTAACTTGGTTCCATTATAATTAAGGCCTCCTAATGTTAACACAATATTCACCTGCAAACATTGCTTTTTCTTCTGTGGCTCTTGTAGAAATCTTAATTACGGTGTGCCATTGTTTTATTAACTTGAAATAATTTCTGTGCCAAACTAACACACACTTCTCCTTGCTTCGTACGTATCATGGGACCAGAAGAGGTGTGGGAGTGATTGTCTGATGATCAAATCAGACGGCCAGGATTGAGGATTTGGACATAGATAAGTGTAGGGTGGTCTCATAGAAAGAAAGGACCAGCAAAGTAGGTAACAAGAAACTGAACCTGGGAGTTGTTTTGGGTGTTGTAGTTGTTATACTACCTCCAGTTCTAATTATAAGAGCTAGTTGACTAATTTGAGAAAATTAAGAAAATAAATTAAGTTAGTTATTTGTAATAAATATGTGTTATCTTTCCTAAAATACCCTTACTGATCAAATGTATTGGCTAAAACTACAATTATTAGAAGAACTACATTGAGAAAAAATATATAAATATGAGAGACAAAGTAGACTGGAGTCTTATATTTAGGACCAAAATATATGTCAAATAAGGTCTTATATTAAAGACAGGAGGTATTACAACTTAGTATTCACTATCATCTCTCTTTATACTCACTTGTGACCGCATGCATTTATGTATTAATTTACTGCTCATGTCCAATCAAGTTCTCACTTTGTTGAGTCCTGGGTTTCATGTATGATAAAAGAGGATGTCGAAGTGCAGAAATTATTGGATGATTATAGGAGACAAGTTGCTATATTCTCTTTGAGCTCAGGCAATTTATTCTGAAATATCAGCTGAAATCCACTTATCTTCTGTTTTATGTGAATACGGTGAAGAAGCTTTTTGCTGCATTTTGGGATAAAGGGTCTATTTGGGTCAGCATTTACTGACCTAAAAGCACCTTAAATTATAATATAAATTGGGTTGAGCAACAAGGTCTGTTTGGGAGAGCTTAAGTCCTATTGGGCTTATTTATTTTTTAGGCTACTGAATGCTCAATGGAAATAAGCTTCTGACAGGAGCTTATCAATTATTTGAGAAGAGCTTTTACCAAATTTTAGCCGTTGTGCGTGTCAAGAGCTTATCAATTTTTTTCTCTCCCATCCAGCTTTTCCCAGACTCACGAGCTTATCAATTTTTTCTCTTAGCCGTTGTGCGTGTCAGGAGCCAATTTGTGCATGTCAGGAGGTTATCAATATTATCTCAAATCTTTTTTTTATGTTTCAATTTATATTTAAAATATTTTTTTTTATGATTTCTTAAAATTTTAAATTTTAATTCACTCATTAAATTTGATTTCTTCATATTAAATTATTTTAATTTCATTATATTATGTGAAATCAATTTTTTTCATTTTTCATTATTTATTAAAACTCATACCCATTTTGGTAATTTTTCAGCCAAACTTACTTTTACTCAACTATAATCCAAACAAGCTTTTACCAATTTCACTTTTGCAAACTAACTTTTCTGAACTTCAATCCAAATACAATTCAGCTTATCCAATTTAACTTTTACCAACTTCACTTTTCCATAAGCTACTTTTCCTATAAGCTGCTTTTCCAATCGTTGATCCAAACGGACACAAAGTTTGGTGGAGTCTTCCACAAGGCTTTCACCAATTCATTTACGGTAAGATAAGGTAAGCTGGTGAGTCCAAGACAAAGAAATAAGTTAAATTAATAAACTTGTAAATTGGGTTTTGTTATTCCACTTCATTTTTGTCCATGATTATTTGACTGTTTTTTCAGGCTTAAGCTACACCAAAGTGCAGTTTAATATGATAATTATATAAAGAATATCTCGGCTGAAATATTTAAGCTGATCAACTTCAACTTTAGAAAGCAAAACCAATGTATTCACTTGAATATCACACAACAGATTCAAAACTATTTACTTAGAGATACTATACTCAATCATGAGTTCCATTTTTGCTTTAAAAAAACAAATAATCGAGCAAAGAATTTAGTTTTCGTATTGGAACCACTTGTGCATAATATTTTATCGAAAAAACATATTTTTTCAAGAAGTGTTTGAAATTTCAATAAATAGTGTGATTTATTTCAAAAAGTTGAAGCAATTTCTTGCTTCGATGGTTACATATTTCTAGGACTCCTTGAATTATCGTCTCACGTTAGCTTTTTCCTGAATATTCTGATTGAGGTGATACAAGTATTTAAACTATCTTTTGTATTTTTTTTTCACCAAAACTGTATTTAGTACCTCAAATCCAGATTATATACAATGCTTGGTAAGAAATGACAAAATGGGTATAAAAATTCATCTGTTTTGGGAATATACCAGTGGTCGCTGCATGGAAGTTAATAATTAGAATATAAGTGTGCATGTATTTTGCAATCATGTAGGCAACTAGAGTAAATGAAACTTGTTTGTCTTAGGGTGTGTTTGGGTGACACTCCAAACCATGGTTTGGAGATTAAGTCACCCAAACACCCACCCAAAAACCAAAACCATGGTTTTGGGTCAAAACCATGGTTTTGGCTCCAAAACCATGGTTTTGGAAAAAGCAAAAATTTTTGTTTTTGGAGAAAGAGGGAGAGTGTGAGAGCCTATAGAATATGTATTTTATTATTTTTTTTATAAACATATTTTTTATAAACATATTTAATATTATATTTTATAAATATATATACATATTAATTATTTATTAATTATATTATCTTATATATTATTAATTATGTTGGTAAAAAATATATTATTAACAATTTTATTCCTTCAAATTAAAATATATCATAAAATCTATTTTTTTGTAATTATCATATTAACTTATGTCTTTTTTTTAGTAATTTGTATATATAAAAAGTGTTTCTGATAACAACTATCCAAACACTCTCACTTCTCAGAATCACTTTTTTACAAAATTTATTCTTCACAGAATCTATTCTCCCCAGAATCTATTTTCCAGAATTACTTTTCCAAACCACGGTTTGATTTCATCCAAACACATTAATCAAAAGTATTCTTTGGGCTTTCCCAAAATATCTTTATATCAAATAAATGTGATTGGCCTAAAACTAAAATGAAACGGACACATTCATATTTTTCCGGTTTGCTTTTATTCTCTGTCTTCCTATTCCTTTCTTTTAATTAATGCGAAATTGGTTGTGGCATTTTGTGAAGATTCTAATTCTAATTATGTATTTGTAGAAATGCATATGGAGGTAATTAAATCTTCCCCATACATCACTCAAGATTTGTGTACAGAGGATGCTAAAGCTAATAATTATACTCCTCTGATCCTTAATATAGGACCTAATTATTAAATTAATTTTGGTCCTAAATATAAGATCTATTTTTCATATTTATCAAATTTTCCTAAATTGCCCCTATAGATACTCCTTTAACCATAATCAAGTAAGTGAGGGAAGGATGATATTAAGAAAAATAATTATGGTATTTTAGGAAAAATAAGTAATATTTATTATAATTAACTAACTCACCTAACATTTTTAATCTAATCAAATTAGTTTAAATAGACCTTATATTAAGAATTGCAAAAATATAACATTTGAAGCCTAATAAAATTTCGCCGGCCCTAGTTCTGTCAGCAATATTTTTATGCTATACCTTTTGAAAGCCCGCATTTAGATGAAGTCGACTTGTTGAAGATTGACCAACATCTTCCGTGCTTAAGGTCTCAACTCATGTAAGTACAGTGGCATCCTGACTAATAGCTATAACTTTTGGTTTAATGGTTTCACTTGATCTTTCATGCCTTGGTTCAATGCTAGCTTTCTGCCTAGTAATTGCACTTGATCCTACATGTTACAGGTGGACTAACACTGTAATTTTTGGTTTAATGGTTGTGCTTAATTTTACAGGTCTTATTTCAACGTTGACCTGATATTTATGCTTGATCTTACAAGTGGTATTAGAGCAACATCATGAGTTTGACTTCCCAAGTATTGTTGGGAGATTCTTTGAGAAAGTTTGTGGTTGCGCTTCATCCTACAAGTGGTATTAGAGCGAGGTCATATGTTCAACTATTCAAGTATTGCATGAAGGATTCCTGGAGAAGGTTTAGCCAATGTCTCCCTCGTGTTTTGATGACTTCACATCTTAAATCATGGCACTAGTAGTATTAATAGTAGCGTTTGATCCTACAAGTGGTATTAGAGTGAGGTTATGGCTTCAGCTTCTCGGGTGGTGGGGATTCTAGGAGGAAGTTTGGCCCATATAAACTCTCTACGAAATTGTTCCTAGCCTATTGTCTTCAAGTTTGAACTAAAATAAACGGTTCAGGACAGGAAATATTTCAAGGTTTGGAGGAAGACTTGAAGCAGCATTAGCGGGTATATCATCTTGCAAATGATTGTTCTATCTAAACAACATTGAGATAGAATATAAATGTAAATGAAATTCTGTAAACTGAGGAACAGTGCCAAATAGGCAATCCCCAAATAGAACAAGAACTGTCAAGCCAAACAAATGGCCTATCTCATTTGGCATGCGATGCCTCCATAGAATTTGTTCACTGCAAGAATTAATCGGGATACAGAAGACAAATTCCCTATCCCTGTTGGGATTTTTCCCGTGAAATTGTTATTAAATTCCTCATCTCCTTCCAGTGACCTAAAAACTACTTGGAATACTCCCTCCAAAGTCATATCGCTAATGCTAAGATTTTGAAGCTGCAGTAGACGTCCCAATTCATGACATAATTTCAAATTCAAAGTCAATCTTTTTATTCAATAATACTCAACATAATAATAAAAATATACTTTAGTCTTAAACTTAAAAACATATTTATCAATTTCTCTTGTGGACATGGTTGAATGGTCAGAGATAATTCAAAAGCATAGTAACATGTTGGTGCAGAAATTTTGCATACTACAATACATTTTTTATCTCTATAGATAACCTCAAGTTAATAGTAATATGGTGGCAAGTAGTGTAAATTTTTAATACATTTTTACAGTAAACATGAGGGGAAAAAAACATATCATAAAATCAATGATTAAAAAAAAAATGGAACAAACGAATGGGCTTACAAAAAGCATAATTATTTGGAGATGTACAATTTTTTGATTGCTTGGAGTTTGTTAACAACCTCAGTCATAGACTGCAGCCTCTCTGATGGCACATGTGCAGAACAAGATACTCCCACCTGCATCAACGAACTCAAGCAATCGTCTATTAACCTCCGTCTTCCACTTCCTTTCCTTATTGCTCTCTCCTCTAAGCGTATATCTTCATCTTCATCTTCTTTTTCAGATAGTAACGAACGATCAGCTATCTCCATTGCATAATTGGGTAAAGCCCTTGCCACATACTGGTGAATTCCCATCCCACCTTCAAATTCATCATTTGTGGGTCTTTTTCCTGTTAAAATCTCCAATAATAATATCCCATAGCTGTATACATCTCCCAGTGTTGAAGGTTGCCCACCCAAACCATACTCTGTAAATGTTTCACTTTTCAAAATCCAGACATATTGACACAACATATTGAATTCAATGAAACTTGTATGGAATTCAAAACTTTTAGATTATCTATGTGAACAGTAAAAATATACCTGGAGGAATATACCCAATTGAACCCTTTAAGCTGCCTGATATTATTGAGTGTTCTAAAGAAGAGTCGCTTGATTCTTCATATAGAAGGGTTGCTAGCCCGAAGTCACCCACATGGGCTACCAAATCATCATCAAGGAGTACATTGCTTGACTTTACATCGCAATGCACGATAGGTGTTTGACAAAAGTGGTGGAGATATTCCAATGCAAAAGCAACATCAATTGCGATGTTCAGCCTCTGGATGAATGTTAATCTCTTGCTCCCCTGTTGCACATAATCTCTTGGATGTATCCAGTCGTCTAGATTTCCATTAGGCATGAACTCAAACACCAGAGCTTTGAAGTCATTACCTTGGTGGTCAATGCTTGATGTTGCAGTTATGATCTTGAGGAGGTTTCGATGCCTTATACTTCTCAGGGCTATGCATTCATCAATGAAACTCCTTGAAGCTCCTCTTTGTTGGAGATTTAATACTTTTACTGCGACATATGTTCCATTACTTGCAAGAGTTCCTTTGTATACCGAACCAAAACTTCCTGAACCGATCAAGTTATTTTGGGAGAACCCACCGGTGCAACTAGCTAGTTCTGAGTAAGAAATTTCTGAATTAAAATCCTTTGTAGTGATTGCATTGGCTTCTAATCTCCTTCTTGTTCTTTTTAGTACGAAAAAATATGCGATGAAGCATGAAAAAAGGAGTACAAGTGCTAGGGTGCAAGCAAGAGGTATCAACACCTTGAGGGCAAGATATTTTCCCGACGAAGAAGCCTTTCTGGCTGTGCAAGTAGATAAGTTAAATTCTGGGATACCTCCGCAGAGCTTGCTGTTTCCGTATACTGAAGTGGAAGTTGCATTTATAAAGATCCCTGCCTTTGGTACTTCGCCATCAAGGTCATTGTAAGATAGATTGAGATGCTTGAGGGCTTTAAACTTGCTTAGGAATTTAGGAATCGTCCCAGACAAATTGTTGCGTGAAAGATCTATATCTTCTAAACCTCTCAATCCCTCCAAACTCTGAGGAATCTCTCCTTTGAACAAATTGCCCTGCAAGTGCAGCCGTTCCAAGCTGACACATTTGCCAATAGAAGAAGGAATGACCCCAGAAAATTTGTTGTTTGACAGTACTAATTGCGCCAGATTATGTAAATTTCCCACTTCATCTGGTAAAGGTCCAGTCAAAACATTATTAGAGACGTCCAAGTACACTGAAAGTGAAGAAATGCCGATCACTGATTTTGGTATCGTGCCATTGAGATTGTTGTTATAAAGACTTAGTACCAGAAGCTTTTGACAATTTCCAAGGCTTAAAGGTATACCTCCTTCAAAGTTGTTTTCCTCCATGAAGAGCCTTGTTAACGAAGTTAAGTTTCCTAGAGACGAAGGGATTGTTCCTGAAAATTTGTTGCCATTCAAATACAAACCGTCTAACGTTTGGAGCTTACCTATTCCATCAGGGACGCTACCAGCTAGAAGGTTTCCTTCAAATCCTAGAATGCCTAAATTAGTAAGTTTGCCAACTGCACTAGGGATGCTTCCATATAATGCATTGGAACCTAGAGTGAGTTTTTCTAATTTGCTTGATAAGTTAGCAATTGAGCTTGGTAATTCTCCTCCAAACATATTTTGAGCAAGGCCCAAAACTTTGAGTTCAGTGCAATTAACCAGGGAAGGAAGAAAATTTAGGCCATGATCATCATTTTTCCCAATTGCTCCTAGGCTATTGACTTCAAGGCTGAACCAAAATAAACGGTTCAAGACTCCTATGTTCTTAGGCAGTGTTCCAGTGAGAGCGTTGACAGAAAAGTCAAAAAGTTGTAGCCTTGAAGCATTTAATAATGATGCAGGAACAGTTCCCGTGAAATTGTTGGCTCCCCCAGCAAATATTTCAAGGTTAGGAAGACTCAAACCAACATCAGGTGGTATCTTACCTTGCAGATTGTTCTGAGCAACACTGAAGTAGAATATAGAGGAAATGTTGTAAATTGAAGAAGGAATTGTACCCGACAGATAATTCCCAAATAGTATGAGAACTGTCAAGCCTGATAAATGGCCTATCTCATTTGGTATGCCTCCATGGAATTTGTTTCCTGCAAGTATTAACCGGGATAAAGAAGAAAAATTCCCTATCCAAGTTGGGATTTTCCCTGTGAAATTGTTTTTACCTGCAAATAAAATCCTCAGTTCTTTGCAGTGACTTAGATTACTTGGAATACTCCCTCCAAAGTCATTGCCGCTGATGCTTAGATTTTGAAGGTCCAGTAGACGTCCCACTTCAGGAGGAAACTCACCATGGAAGCTGTTGAAGCTGAGGTTGAGTTCTCTGAGAAATGTGAGGTTTCCTATAGAAGGTGAAACTGTGCCAGCCAATCTCCGTTGTCCAAGGCTCAGTTGCACCACCCTTCCATTGGAGATGTTGCAGGTGATTCCTACCCACTTGCAGTGATGGATGGAGTTGTTCCACAAACTCATTATTTTGAATGGATCTTGAATTATCCGACTCTTGAAGTCAAGTAAAGCTCGAAAATCAGTTTCATTTCCTTGTGGCATCGCTGTTGCGGAGCTAAATGTTGAACTCATGCACAAAAAGAGATATCCTCTAAGGACTCGTAATGCTAGAATCCTGTAGTTTGCCCAATAGTGGCTCATCTCTTTTTAAGAACAGATCTGAATCCAACTCTGGCAGTGGTGAATGTGAAGAAACATGGAACTACAATCGTAATATTGGAAGCAACGTGGAACTAGGAATGTAAAGAAAGGATAAAGATTAAGCTTCATAGATATGCAATACGGTAGCAATTTCTTTTTCTTTTCCCTCAAATACGAAAGTGTGGTAGAGAAGTCCACACTTCTTGAAAATGAAAACAACTGATCCGTTGTGGTGACGTTTTCATAATCTGATAGCAGTAGTTTATCCAATCTCCAGAACTTTAATTTCTAGTGATGACACATTTCACGGACAGTGGGGAGAGCAGAGAATTGAATATGCTGATGTATTAGTATACCTACTCTCCTGAAAATTGAGGACAAGGTTTGTTCAATTGTCCTTGCCCCAAAAATTACATTCATATTCGGAGACTTGATTATCATAGTTACCTTGCACTCAAAAAAGATAATTAGATTTTAAGTTGTTAATAAATAAGTCTTATACATTTAACATATTTCACACAGACAAAAAAAAAACCTTAAACTGCATTAACTTTTTATTAAAATGTAACAACTTTTCAACTTCATTCCTATTTAATATATACACCTTTTAAAAAAATAACTATCTATACTATAATAAATTAAGGACAATATAGTACATTCATGGTAAAAATTTAATGAAGTAACTTATAAATAAGGCTAAAAAAATCTCTCGCTACCCTATAAATAGGACCAGAGAGTATTTTCGTAAGTTTACATCAAAACTAAAGGATAGTGGAATTTGTCCAAAAGGACTCAAAATACTATTTAATATTAAGAATGAAATAAATACTACCTCCAATCCTTAATATAAGAGGCAACTGCGGATAAATTTGGTCTTAAATAGAAGACTTTAATCTACTTAATCCATTTTGCCCTCCAAATTTGTAATTTATTTTTATAAAATATCCTTATTTATTACACATGTTAAGAAGTTACTAGCCAATGGTAGTAATGATTAAAAATGATATTTTAAAAAAAAACCAATTCATATTTGTTACAAATAACTAATTTAACTAATTTTTTAATCTGGTCAAATTAATTAAATAATTTTATATAAACAACCAAAGGTACTACCATATTTTTTAGGAATGCGCAGTATACGGAGTCACATTGGACTAGTACTAATTTGGACATGGTGCCTTGCACTAATCCAAACCAAGTTGGATGCGACCACCAGGGTGGGAAGCTCTTCCAACTAGGGGTGTTCACGGGACGGATCGGCACTAGGACAAGCCCGTCCCGGTTTCGTCCCGAAGAACAGTAACGGGACAGATTTTCTGTCCCGGTCCCGGTCGGGACGGGACGGGACCGGGACGTCCCGAAATAATTTTTTTAAATTTTTTTAATTTTTTAAAATTTTTTTAAAAAAATCTGATTTTTTTAATTATATTTTTTTGAGCTTAAATCTTATAAAAACATCTTTTTTATTTGTTTGGGCACTCTTAAACAAAAACTCAAAATATTACATATAATAGTTATTAAAAACTCTAAACAAAAGCTTTTAACACAATAAAAACTTGTTAAAAATTCTAATCATCAATAATCTCAAATCATTAACAAATATAAAAACTCTAAATAAATATATCCATAGTTCCATACAATAGTCTCAAATCTTAAAAAAATATGAAAAATATGATATTATATAAAAAATTAAAAAAATTAAAAAAAATTTTAAAAAAAAAGGAACCGGGACGGGATGACCCCGTCCCGGTCCCTTTTTTGTCCTGTCCCGGTTTGTCCCGTCCCGAAAAATTTCGGGACGGATCCGTCCCGTCCCAATAAGACCGGGACCGGAACGGGCTGACCGGGACGGGCCAGCCTTGAACACCCCTACTTCCAACTAATATTCAGGAGGTGTTTGGCAATAGGATGAAACCATGGTTTTGAGACCAAACCATGGTTTAGGTCTCAAATTTGCCAAACAAGGAGAAAAATTAACAAACCGCGGTTTCAGACCAAAACTATGGTTTTGGACTCAAAACCATGATTTCAATAAAAGTGAATCCATTCTGCTTCTAGCTTAAATTAGAGAATATGATTGTGCTTGTCAGATAGATCTCAACGATAATATGACTTTAACACCCCTTAATTATTTTTTTAGAAACATATTTAATCTTATATTTTATAAATATATACACATATTAATTTTATTATCTTATATATTATTAATTATGCTGGTAAAAATATATATTATTAATAATTTTATTCCTTCAAATTAAAATATATCATAAAATTTATCTTTTATGTAATTATCATATTAACTTATATCATTTTTAGTAATTTGTACATATAAAAAGTGTTTCTAATAATAATTATCCAACACTCTCACATCTCAGAATTACTTTTTCACAAAATCTATTCTCCGAAGAATCTATTCTCCAGAAGCTATTTTTCAAATCATAGTTTGGTTTTATCCAAACACCCCTTTAATCTAATTAGGCATATCCCAAAAAAAAAAAACTAGCTATGTAATTAGAGCTCTCAAATACAAGACTTCTAGCTATGTAATCATAGCCTTCTATGATCATATATATTGCTTGTCAGTTTTCCTCCGTCCAAACATAACCTGGTTATCATCTTAGCATACTAACTAGACTGCTCATTTCTGTTCAAAGGGACCCCATGACAGCATAACACTACCTTCGGTTCTAATTATAAAAGCTAGTTAACTAATTTGAGGAGATTAAGAAAAGAAGTTAAATTAGTTATTTGTAATAAATAGATATTTTTTTTCTTAAAGTATCCTTGCTAATCAAGTGCTTTAATTAAAACTACCATTGTTAGAAAAACTACATTAGAAAAAAAAACATAAATATAAGAAACAAAGTAAATTAAAGTCTTATATTTATGATCAAAATAAAAATCAAACAATACTTTATATTAAGAACTGGAAATAGTATATGTGTCTAAACTTTAAAGGCGCAACCTAAAGTTTGCTCGCAGAAATATAACCCTCCTTACCCCTTCACATCAATCCCACGAGTCTCTTATTCATTCTCAATGCGGGAGAGCAAGTCAAAATAAAAAGACTCACATTGGGTTTAGGATAGTCAGGCTTGAACACATCATAGAGATTGTCGGCTGAAATTTTATTTTAATCTGATTGAAATCGCAGTTCTTTTTTTTTTTTTTTCCCCAGTTACAAGGGACGGGATCAAACCCGCACACACACACCCCACACACACGCACACCACTTGGCCAAACGGCCGATGGTTGAAATTGCAGTTCTATACAAATATGAAGGTGACCTGTATTTTCTTCAAGCCATTCACAGGGTAATGAAATTAAGGCAGAATCACAAAGAAATGGTTATTTATTTTCAAACCTGTAACGCGGAATGAAAAATTTGCAACCAAAGCAAAAGCAGTTTGTTTTCTGGGGCAATCCCCTTCTTGGAGATGTTAATGAAATAATCTTTGACAGCTAGATTAATTACAGAGGTAGCAGAGAAACCAAAGAAGTTATGAAGCACCAAAATCCTTAAATCTTAACACGTATTTAACACTCAATTATGCTTAACAAATATGCATTAGTGTGGGGGGGGGGGGGACTAGTACGTAAAAAATTAAATTGTGTACAACATAGTGGAATTCATACATACTTTGACAGTATCATCAACTAACAAATAATGAGAAGCAGAATTACAGGATGCAGTAAAATCATCCAGAAAAGAGAGACTCGTCGATCTCAATCTTGACAACTTCATTATCTTCAAACTTATCTTTCTTGGAAGGAGCTGGAGGAGCATAAAGTCTTGGTGGCCCTCTACCTTTCTTCTTGTCCCTGGGCCTTGCCTGTTGGCATAACATTACAATCGGAAAACAGTATCAAAGAACAGAGTCACCGGTACTGTTAACAAATACACAAGATTGAGATTATATCAAATACAATGCTAATATCCGCGCATGGCATAATTTGGCACAGCATTAAAGTTGCCGAATTGTGTTGTTTATCAAGTGAAGATCTTCTACATTCTGGGATCTCTTGAACCGAAGAGATTTGACTTGTATTAGTCTAAATATAATTCTTTTGTTTAAATTTACATCATCCAGTATCTTCCGGATGATTTTACTGGACCATGTAATTGCAACTTTTATTTAACAAATAATGAGAACACTAAACAGTGCTTGCTTTCCAAAAATCAATAATTGAAGAAACATCAAGAACGATATGAAGCGTTCATAAATTAAATACGTAATCATATGATGTCTAATATGAGTCACTATCTGTACAATCTTTGTTTTTCATTAGAAGAAAACAATACAACAAATTTTTCAAGGAAATTGGAAACAGAGCTTGCACAAGAACTTTGAAGCATCAGTATTTCAACAAGCGAACCATACTATCATCACAAGCATAAGGCTCGGAATAATACTTAGACACTCGAAAGAATACTATATCGCGTGGGCATTCGTCTTTCTCAGACCAAGAACAACAAACAAATTTGTAGGGAAAAAACAGAAGGAATCGACAAATTTCAAAAGGGAGAACGCGAAGAGTGCTTACATTTCCGTATGAGTGATTGAAGCGCTTGCCCTTTGCGGTTTTCCTGTCGCCTCTACCACAATACACTGAAAGATTAAAACAACAGAAAATCGAGTCAGAACGCAATAAATTTACAAATGGGAAAGTTTTGTTCAATGAGATTACCAGAAGGAACGGGTGAAGGAGAAGAAACGGGAGAGGCAGAGAGGGAAGGAATTCGGGAGAGGAGAGAGGAAGTTAGGGTTTCAGACTGAGAGAATGAAAGACGAGAAGGGGGCTTCTGGAATTGAGAGAACAAGGGAGGAGCTGCTGCAGCTACCACCAGTGACGCCATTGCTATTTCGCTGCGAGAGAACCAAAGGGATAAGGTCTCTTGCGCATTACCATGGAAAAACAAATAAATTTTCCTAGTCCTTGCTTTTTATTTTTATTTTTATTTCGTAAATACAGTATGTAAAAAAAATGTATATTTCATAGGATTATTTTTCAAAAAAGAAGATAAAATCAGGAAAAGATTCCAGATAAAGCCCTTTGAATATACATAATTTCAGATTGGGTCCTGAAATTGTCTAAATGACAGAAAGAGTCAATGACCAATCTGTTATTTGTAAAATCAAGAAGAATTGACAATTTTATCCTCATTTGTATTCATTCACTACAATAATTTAAGAAATTACTATAAGGGCTTAGGTGTTACCTAGATTTATGGAGAGAATAACTATTTATTTTTTCGTAGTCAGGAATGCCCCATAAGAAGGTGTATTGTTATTAACTACAACTAATCATATAATCACTAGAACAGTATAAGCATTACCTAGATTTGTTTAGAGAATAACTACTCACTTTTACTTTCATTTGTATTCATTTACTACAATAATTTAAGGAATCAATATAAGGGTTTAGGCGTTACTTAGATTCCTGTAGAGAATAACTATTCATTTTTTCGTAGTCAGGAATACCCCATGAGAAGATGCCTTGTTATTAACTATAACTAATCATGTAATCACTAGAACAGTATAAGCATTACCTAGATTTGTTTAGAGAATAACTGCTCACTTTTGCTTAATCAGGACAAAATTGTCAATTACTTTTAATTTTAGAAATGACAGATTGGGTCATTAACCTTTTCTGTCATTTATATAATTTCAGGACTCAATCTGAAATTATATATATTCGAAAGGCTTTATTTGGGATTTTTCCTAAAATCAGGTTGTTAAAAAAATAAAATTTATATTTTGTATAAATAGAAAATATTAAATGTTTTTCTTTTGGACCGCAAAAGGAAAATGAAAAATGGACATTTGAAAGTCATTGTTTGTCTAGTTCCAAGCCATCAAAAAGTTTTTCTGGAAAACAAAAAGCCATCACGAAGTTTTATTTTGGCCAAAAGAATGTATTAAAATTTTCAAAGTTAAATTGTCAAAGAGGCCATGACACAATTAAAATGATTTGGAATATAAATTTGTGAATACCTTAAAAAAATGAAAATTATAAACAAAAATAAAACGAACCTTCTGCACATTGATTCCTCCTCTATTTTAGAGGACTTTACTTTTGTACAAGGTATATAATACGAAATTTATATCTTCTCATTTTACTTTCGCTTTCTTATGTTTTTGTTTAGTTAAATATTCTATCAATTAGTAGATATAGCTAATATGGATTTTTTAGAGAATTCAACTCATATTTATTATAAATAACTGATTTAATTAATTTTTTACTTCATTTAAATTAATCAACTAACTCTTAAATAAAAGATTAAAATTAGTACTACCTCTGGTTTTAATTATAAGATCTCATTTTGTAAACTACAAACAAAATCTTATAATTAAGAATTAGAACAGAATATCGCTTTGCCGTTGTCCAAAAACATTAATTTATACAATTTAACATTAGTTACTGTATACGTCTTCTTTTCTCTGGTCAAATTGTTCCTACTTCCTAGGCACAAAAAAAAGAGTGTTCTTCTTTGTTTTCCTTTTTGCGCTGCCGCATATATAATTTTGTTCTTTTGGTACATCCTCATGTATACTTTTGAATACACTCGCACTCTATCAGAATTGAAGCTCATAGACAAATATTTAAATGACATGTGAGAGATTGCCTTAAGTGCTATGAGTAAAACTAGGTTAAGAATTAGAAATTAAAAGGCTGCCATGTCAAAAATTAAAATTAAACAACCAAAACATCAATCTAACACAAAATAAAAGCTTCATATTGCTTCGCAACAGCTTTTCTTTAAATATTAGCATTCTCTATTGGGCCTTACAAAACATGGGTAATAATAGCCCTGCACTTGCAAGAGTTGAGACTGAGCCCATGATTTGCTTCAATTGGGCCTTCCATATGGACCTTTCTACGTATCACAAGAGTAGTAATACAAATATGCTTGAAACAAAGCACACAAAAGGCTTCATAGCCCCATTGGATAATCCTTTTCTCTTCCTTTTTTTTTTTTTAAATTCAAACTATAGCCAATTAAAAGAAGACCAAAAATATATGCCAAACCCAGCACACAACACAACATCACACCAAAGTGAAGAAGGTGATGATACAAAATGTTGAGCCAAACAGAAGCAGCCTATATATATATATATATATATATATATATATATATATCCAAAAGTCAGCTGGTGTATGTGTCTGATCAGTGATGATGCGGCGGAGCTGCGGCAGCTAGTGGCGGAGGAGGCGGGGACTTGCACTGGTAGCACTTGGCAAAGAGGCCGAAAGTGTCAATTTGCTTGACAAAGTTGGCCATGCTGGCCCATCCTCCAAACCCAAACCCAACTACAAAAATCCATATCACAATAAAGGCATTCAAGATATACATGGCAGTCCAGCTTCCCATGAAGGCTGGAGGCTTCTCTGCAGCATTCTGCATATTCAATGACACCCAAATTTAGAATTATTGTCATTTCCACCCCTACAGAACTAATCCAAAATTACAAAATAATTCATGTTAAACTATTTACAGAAAAATACAAACAATCATTAATCACACAAGTTAAGAGGTCAAACAAATCTGTCCAAGACATCTGATTTATGCTCATATAGTCTTTTTCCCCCTCCTCCTCTCAATTTCAAGCAATAATTTTATATCAACAGTATCCCATGCATAGGTACTAAGATTACATACAGAATCCAATTCACAACTTCAAATTACGGAGAAACTTTTATGCCACTATACTACTCCTCCGGTCCTAAATATAAAACCCATTTTGTAGTGTAAATTACATTACAAAATGGGTCATATATTTAGAACTGAAAGGAGTATAAGGTTGACATATCAACAGTAACCTCTAACGTCAACAAATGCTAATCTTTTTCGAGCTAGGAAAAATAAAGAGTGAACTTTTTTTAACCAAATGTCGTGTATAATCAATTACTTGTTTGAAAGATTAAAGAAGTCACCGTTTACACTAATTATGTTCTAATTCAAGTAATTTGGTTTCACTCGTTTTTGTCAATGTATTATTGGAAAGAGGTGGGTCAACAGACGCCAGCTCATAAAGAGACATGGTACAAGGATTCAACTGTAGCAAAATAACGAAAGGAAAGTGACCTCTTACCACCCACAATTCTCCTCATAAAATCCAACCCTTCCATTCTTTTTCAAAGCCCCTAACTTTAGTACATTTTACTTTAATTAGATTAAACAATAGCTCAACACATGGCAGTATCACACCGCAGGTCCCTTTATAGTAAAATACTCTCTATTATAGTTGATTCGGACAATTAAATGTTACCCAAGAAAATAATTATATTTCAATAGAAAAATTAGACATTTTACACTCATTTTTGGATAATCAGTTTTATGCTTTTAACACAATTCTCCTAAATATTTATCTTATAATTCCACATAAAATCACTTAAAATAAGCTAAACTAATAAACAGCCCACTAATAAAGCAGTTTAAGTTTTTTTTTATCTAAAATTGAAGATGGGCTCACTTGAATAGATCTCCATTGGCGTTACTTGTATTATCCCTATTATCAGAAAACACACGCACATATACATACACGCACGTATACATTACCTATATATATTTGCAGTAATGAATATGATCCAAAAGAAGAAAGTGATCGATCAGGTAATTCGTAGACATATATACCTGTCTAGCGGAGGCAGTTCGGTAAGTGAGCATATGAGCCAGAGAGGGGATGATGTAAACGGTGAAGCTAACGAGGAGAGCACCGACGGCGGAATTAATGGGGCCAAAGAAAGGGAAGATGATGGCCAAGAACCATATCGGAATCACCACCGGCAACCTCACCGCCGCGCGAACACAAACGCTCTTCGTGTCGTGCATCCCTATCACCTTCTCCCACACAAAGTACAACGGCGTACACGCAAACCCAAATGTTATAAACTGGTGAATCAGCATCAGGATGACGGCGGCGTCCCGGAAGCGGGTCTTGGGGAGGAGGGAGAAGGCGTTGGAGTGGTCAAGCAGCTCATCGCCGAACGCCCAGTAAACGGCGGCGGCGGAGGGAATTGTCAGAGTGAAGACATAAAGCGTCGCCAGTAAATAAATGTACTTGAACTTCTGAGGCTTCCACATTGCGTGCATTATCTCCCTGAAACAACCACACGTGACGCCCACATGACATTGACGCCTTTGAAAACAATTCAGCAAAAAAATTGCCTCCCCATCAAAATCAAAAACTCAAAAAAATAATTGCTTCTCAAGCTGGATTTTCCATATTTTATGGTCCGCTACAACTTCAGAGAGCTCAGAAGCAATAATAGCAACAGGATCATAAAGACAACACGTTACAGAGTACCAACATATCACATGATAATAAAACATGTAATGTAATGTCTTAATACTACAATTTATAATGTCCCGCACATGAAATAGTCCTATTCCATAGAAGCTAGTAACTTTGACGATGAAAGTAGGATAAGGATAATAACAATAATGAAGAAAAATGGAAGCTTACACTGTGACGGCGTGTCCGCCGAACGTGTAAAGGATGTTAGTGGCCCCGGTGAAGTAAAGAACTAGCTTTGCTGGACCAGAGTGAGTCACGTTTTCTGCCTACAAGAACATCATCGGATTCATCAACTGTCAGTGATTCTCTTCACTTTTCCATGAAATTTGAATCCGATTCAGATTGATCCTTCAACTTTTGAATTTGGTTAAGTGAATTTTTACCTGGCCATGAATCAGAGCTGCTACGGCCAAGTACCAAGCAGTATAAGTCGTCATTGCGAGGCCAAGAAATGACCAAATTCGGTAGTTATGGAAGGAAGGTATGAACACAGTGGTGGCACAGCAAGCCCCAAAGATATAAGTCCAGGTCCTTTTATCCAGATGGTCATTTATGTAGTAGATGTTACTGTTTCAATCACATGACCCAAAAAGGGAAAGGGGAAAAAATTAGACGAAACCCATTTCAGATAAACCCGAATAGGTTCCAGAAATGAAGGAAAGATCATACCTTGCACATGCTATCAGCTGTATTACAGATCCAAAGAGGAGGAAAGTACAGTTGAAAGCTAACCCCACTGCTTTCCAGTATGGCCCCAGTAACCCATCCAGGACTTCGAACCACTGAAAAACCAAAACAACCAAGCGTTTTAAAGTCGTCTCTGAGATTGGCCACACCCACACAGATGGAATTCTCCAGTTTTGAAGACGAATTAAAGAATGAAACCCACCTGAATAACATGGTTCTTGAAGCTGACGTTTTCCTTTTCCTTTCTGGCTCTGTACTCTATGTAGAGTACACTGATTAGATAAGCCGTCCAGCTTCCGATTATGCCGTAGAATATCTGAAGCAAGATGCCAGAGATCATACCCAGTTGAGAGAAAGAGTATGGAAGCGTCAAGAGCACTTGAGCTACCTGCAAAGAAAGAAAGAAAGAAACAAGAGCATGAAAACCGGTTCGCTCAGTAATGTTCTTAGACAGAAACAGAAAGTTTTGGGGAAATTACTTGATTGGAAGCACAACTGAACCAGGCATCCCATACAGAACCGCCATGCCAGAGCAAGCCCTTGAAGCTGAAGCCATAGCTGTCCTGCTCCGGCTGATCTTCACCGTCTTCCCTCTTGCCTCCTTCATGCTCTGTTTCGCCGGTAACTATGGCTTCCTCTGCCTGCTTCTGAGCCAACATTGTCTCAGTCATATTCTTCAGGGACCAAAGCCAGTTAAGAGCTAGTCACTTTGAAATGAAGTGCTTAAAATTCCACACAAGAAGAGAGAGAGATGCAAAGGAGAATATATTAAAAATAGCCTTTTGCCGGAGATGTCACTTTCTTATAAAGGCATGAGAAGAATAAGGAACCGAGGAATCAGGAAAGATAGATCGATGTACGGGACCTAGTTCTGGGAACAAAATTAGGGTGCTTGAGTATTGTGGGTAGGGGAGGGAATGGAGCTTATAGCCATTGTCCTGGTCTGTGAACAAGAACAAGTAAGGTATAAATGGAAGTGAATAATGGAGAAACTGGGAAGAGAATAATAATAAAAGGGAAGCTTGGGGGATTTAATGAGCCACAAAATGGCAGAGAAAAAGGAATGACGCAACACAAAGACGGCGAGAGGGGCCGCAAAAGCAGGAAACACACACAAATAACACTCTGCTCTGTCTTTCCCTTTCGAACTCTCACTTCTTCTGGCGCTTGCTCGCCCTAAGTACCCTTTTCCTAACGATTCAACCACGGTTATATAAATAAAAATAAGAAAATTAGTATTAATGGTATTTAATATTTTTGTAAAAGTTGTTGGAACAGTGCGACTTTTTTCTTTCACCTTTTATTTCATATTTTTAATTTTAATCATTTTTTGTTTTATGAAATGAGTTAGAACTTAGGGTGAATTATTGCATGAGTCTTACTCTCCTGGTCCTTAATATAGAACTTAATTATTGAGTTAATTTTGATCTTAAATATGAACTGTTCTTTATATATATTAATTTTTTTCTAAATTATCCCTATGGATCTCTCTCAGCCATAATCAAGTAGAAAAGAAAAGAGAATATTTAAAAAAAAATGATTATGGTGTTTTGGAAAAAAAATATTATATTTTTTATAATTAACTAACTTATCTAACTTATTTAATCTAATCAAATTAGTTAAATAAGTCTTATATTAAAGACCAAAAGAGTTTTTTTTTTTTTGGGCAACGGCCAACGGGGTCTTGTTATGTGATGGGACGAAGCTAAATGAATCTATTCTTTTTTTGACCAGAGTTAAATGAATCTATTCAACGGATGCTAAAGAAGTTTTAAGAAAATAAAGCAGAATGTAGGATGAAACAGGAAAGAGAGGTACGAAGTTTCTTCCTATCAAGCTATGCCCCCTTTATTTTTTTAAAAAAAAGGTAATGCTCCTTATAACAAAGTACCATCATCGGATTAATAAATTATAATCTCCAAATTTAATGAGTTATAAAAATATAAATTTGCTTATGCTATTGATTAAAGGTGGGGCCAGTTTTTTTAAAATTTAATAAATAATAAGTTAAACATACATAGGAAAGTTATAAACTTATAAGGAGTATGAAGGAGTGACTGGGAGAATTTAAGCTAAACAAATGACTACTGATGTGTTGGAAAAATTTTATTTTGATAACATATACAGTAATTTGAAATAGCTAAGTTAAAAAATATTTTTAAGTTAATATTATCTTTAGTCTCTACAATTTTACCTTATTTTGATTTTGATGTTAGTTTCAAAGTTTTGTTTCAAGTATTCTAGTGACCAAAAATGTTTTGACCGATTAGAATAAGATCAAATTTTAGATACCAAATTTCCTCTTAATAGTTCGAGTATTAAACATAACTATAATTACTTTAATGTTGGCAAAAAAAAAACTAGAATTACTTTAGTGTTTTATTTAATATTAAACAACTTCTCCTGAATAATCTTAATGGTTCAAAATTATAATAGAGAAACACATAAAACAAATGAAGTGTAATGTACTGAGTGGCTAAGCAATAGCTGTATGTTATTATTTATAAGTCATTTGTACCTCAAACTCATAAATTAAGAAATACATAAAATTAATAATTTTTTGACCTTTTGCCCTTATTAGGGGAGGGTATTAAAAATATATTTTATTACCTCTTGTTCTTAATATAATAATTGTTTAATTTTTAATTTGATCCTAAATATAAGATCCTAATTCATTTGTCTTTTGTATTTATCTATTTTTTTAAAGTAAATCTTTATAGTGATTGCACATGTTAAAAGTTCTATCAAATATTAGTTTTGGTTAATATATATGATCAATAAATTAGTGCTGATAATTCAGCAACAGCAACACACACACATGATATATGTATCGGTTATGCCTAAAATCAGTTGTGAAGTGATGTGTAGATTAGCATTGTGTATGTTTTTTCTTTCAAAGACCCTCAAAAAAACCATCTCATATAAAAGGTGGGAAATGGACGCCGGCAGGACGCAGTGAGACGGTGGCTTTTGTGAACAAAGGCAAGTGGCAAACTGAGGAGGATATAAAAGCGAGAAGGATATATCATACACCATACTGAATTTGATCTTAAATATAAAACTCTAATTTATTTTTTTCATATTGATATGTTTTTTTAAGATAATCCTTGTAATAATTGCACATGTGAAATGTGTAATCAAATACTCTTCCGGTTCTTAATATAAGACTTAATTGTTGAATTGATTTTAATCATAAATATAAGACATATTTATCAAATTTATCAAATTTGTCTAAATTACCCATATAGATATTTCCTCAAACATAATCAAGTACAAGAGGGAGAGAGGATTATTAAGGAAGATGATTATGGTATTTCAAAAAAAAAAATCATATTTCTTATAATTAACTAATTTTTTAATCTCTATTAATCAATTGTCACTCACATTAAACATGGGAGGTAACGTGTGGGCATGAAATGAGAAATTGAGTTTGGGGAAAATAATGTCTGGATTCTGGATTTTGATGGGGACGCTTAAGATGAGAGAATTTGAAGAGCGAACAAATTAAAGGGAGGGAGACGTTACATTGTTCTCATGATCTGTAACCCCAACGTTGTAGGCCCCGCTCGACCCCCTCAACTACATTCATCCCCCTCTCTTATTCTTCTTTTTAAGCCCTTCTTCTACCTTTGTCCTTCCTAATTATTTTTATTATTCTCTCCCATGCCATCCCTTTTTGCTTTCCCCTCACATCTCTTTTAATTATTCTTTTTGCTCTTAGAAAAACAGAAAGAGGATCAGTTCATCAAAGCCGATTATTTCACCTGATTTTTAATTAGGTTTTTCTAGTTTTTTTTCCCTTCTGTATTGGATCATTACGATTTCTTCAATCACAGGCATTAAATTTTATGCTCATGCTCGTCTATTAATGGGATTGATGTGAATTTAACTAAGTGAAATATAATTTGCCACAAAATATAAAAAAATTAAAAAATTTTAAAAATAAAATTTAGTTATTTTCAGCATAAAATAAAAAATTAGTATGCACATAACAACTATCCCTTATATCTATGTAATCTCTAATATTATGTATCTTATGATTTATTTTGATTTTATTTAGATCTGTTTGGCAAAATTAATTCAAATGTGTGGTGAATGAGAAGCATGCCACTAGTAGTAATATCATTTCTCTTGCAAATTAATAATATATGAGCATAGAGATTAATAACTGCAATTGAGAAAATTATAAAGATCCAATAAAAATTACAAAGACTTAATTAAAAGGTAAAGTAAAATTATAGGTGCTTGCATATAAAAGTCAAAATAATTAACTTATATAAGTCCTGTTATTGTAGAAACAATTATTACCAAAAAAAATTAAATACTACGTTGGGAGATTTTTCATCAAATGAGTAGTATCTAATGTATTCCTTTAGTTTTAAATATACGACTCATTTTATAGTATAATTTACATTACAAAATGGGTCCTATAGTTAGGACCGGAGGAGTTAATGATTAAAATAAATAATTAGACAAACTAACACATGTTTATTAAAAATAAATCCTTTAACGAATTTTTTAGTTTTTTACAAAATAGTTACGTAACCAGCTGCAGAGAGTATCTGTTAATAAAATTCCCATATCAACCCATATAGTAGCACTTATTTTTGTTGGATATAAGGCATGAAAGGGAAAAATACACACGCTATTATAATTCATAATGAATGCAAAGCTCATGGAATATGAGCTTTGGCTAGAGAGTGACAGTGACTGGTGCTGCAAAGATTAACTTCTGGAATGATCGATAATTTTTTAAAATGAAGAAAAGCTAAAGTTTCCTGTTAAGTATTACGCCCATCTGAAGGTTTTTCAAATCGTGCGGCGGGCCAATGTAATTTTTATTATTAATGGGGGAATGTGGGTATCTTCCGACTCCGAGGGTAAGAGAATGGATATTTTCTTTTTTATATTTTATGTTATTCTCTTTTTGAAACATTAAAATATAAATATCTATGCTCTTAAAATATACTCCTCTGGTTCTTAGTATGGAACCTAATTGTTAGGTTGATGTTGGTCCTAAATATAAGACATATTTCGCATATTTATCAGTTTTTTTTAAATTATCTTTATGGATACTCCATCAACCATATAATTAAGTAAAAAAGGGAGAGATAATATTAAATAAGATTATTATGGTATTTTAGTAAAAACATGTCATATTTATTTTAATTAACTAACTTACCTAATTTTTTTAATCCAATCAAATTAGTTAAATAGGTATTATATTAATGACGGGAAGAGTATTATTCTCTCTGTATTCCTGTTTATATCAATAATACTCCTTTTAGTCCTTATTATAGGACATTTTTAAGAAATAACTTTTGACCATAAATATAAGTCATCAACTAATTCACTAATTGATACTTTTCAATTTTACTCTTATTATCAATTAGAGTTTAGAGTTTATAAGCTCATTAAACGCGTGTTTCTCTATTTTCATCATTTAAATTGGAAGCAAATTTAGAGAAAAAAATTATCAATTTAAAACAAATTTCATGTTTTTACTTCCATTCTCTGGATATGTGAGAATTAATTGAGAACGTACTAAGCTTAATGGAGTAATATATGACTTACTATCTCTTATTCTTAGTATAAAAGTTGAACAACTAAGTCACGAATATTTTAAAAATTGATTTATTCGATCTCTGTTTGAAATGAATTGCAAACAATCTAAAAAAACTCTGATATTTTGAGACTGAGTTCAATTCAGATGAAGCATATAAAATGAACTTAGAACGGTCCCTTTGGAGACATCCGATAATTAAAAAAAAAAGAATTTAGAACTTACTACTTTTGATTTTTAATATAAGACCTAATTAGTTATTTAAAAAATTTAAAAATCCTACTAAATTTTAGGTATAACATATATTACATTATTTTTCTAAAATACTTATTTATATCATTAGATTATATATCATTTAATAGGTGAGACAAATTAGTTTAAAAAGTAATAAATATAAATAATTTAATAAATTTTTAATTTTTTTAAATGAATTAATTGAATGTTATATTAAAAAGAAGATGTAGTATCATAAAATTAGTAGCCTTTAAGGCAGGAGAAGCTTCTTAATTTTAGTTGAGGCAGTTGTCATAACTGATTTCCAGATACATTTCATGTGGATATCATATCGTTGAAAAATGAAACAGTTCAGAGCTGACAG